AGCGAGTGTTTTCCCTGCTCAAATACTCACTAGCTTCGGCCCCTGTCAGGGGACATCCGATGAGAGGTCTAGGTTACCGGCTCTATACAGACACTTCTGACATGGCGTTGGTGGGAACCCTCCAACAGATACAACCCATACTCGTCAAGGACCTGGCGGGTACCAGGACCTATGACAAGTTGAAGCAAGCACATGACCTAGGGGACCCAGTGCCCCACCTCATGAAGAAGCTGAGTGTCGAACATGATGATCATCCTCCAAGGATTGGTTGGGCAACTAACTTCGAGGAATCCACGGTCCATGTGGAAAGAGTGATAGCTTACTGGAGCCGCACCTGTAAGGGACCAGAAACCAGGTATTCAGCCACGGAACGCGAGGCTTTGGTGGCCAAGGAAGCGTTAGTTCGCTTTACACCATTTATCGAGGGTGAAAGACTATTCTTGGTCACTGACCACACGGCCCTACAGTGGGCCAGGACCTTCAAGAACTACAACCGCCATCTAGCAGCTTGGGGATTAGTTTTTGCGGCATTCCCAAACATGATTATAGTGCACCGCCCTGGTTTGGCACATTCCAACATGGACCCGCTGTCAAGACTGTCCCGGACGCCCGAGGCAATCAGTCCTGAAGTGGAAGGGTTGCCTAGCCTAGAGACGAGTCTAGCACAGGGGGACATAACTCAGCCTTGGGCAGACTATTTACGCAAGGACCAAGCGAAGAGGACCTTTGTAGTCACCCGATCAAGGTCCATTACAAGCAAGAAGTTAGACCTATCTGGCGACCCCGATGTGGAGAGCCAAGGGGAGAAAGGTCCAGCTTCCAATCTCCAAATGAGCCTTGCCCCGGAGGTCGCAAAGGAGTTTCAACTCGCCTACCTTTCAGACGAAGAGTTCGGCGATACCTACAGCAAGTTGCCAGAGGGTTCCTTGGGTGGTGGGGCACACCAGATCTCGGATGACGGTTTGCTATTGTGGGACGACCCCCAAGCCAGCCGACGAGTGTGCGTTGTAGGAATATAAAAGTTACAACACTAAAACAACCAGAAACCATCACAAAAAATTGGATAAAAATCATACAACCTCCACGGACCAGAAATAAAAACAGGAATAAAATCATAACTCAACAAAATGAATTGAAATAAAATATCGGAAAAATAATGAAGAACAGAGTCGATGGATTGAGTATCTACGCGAACTTTCAAGTCTAGGGATTAACAGATGGTTCAGAAAATGAAGAAAAACAGCAAATAAACTCACATGAAAACAAAAACAAGGTTTCCTGTATCAAATAAAATATTAGAAATTCGTGGTAACGTGGGAAAATAGTTTTACGAACGTACGAAACGAATGACAAAGAGAAATCGGAAGGAAATCAAGGCATCCATATAATGAAAAATGGTCGGGTACGAGGAAAAGATGAAAGAATTGGAAATATTTATACGAGGAAAATAGGGAAAAATATGAATATTTGTCGGTCTTAAAGAGTTGAAGTATAGGTCTGTGTTCGAAAAGATTTCATGTTAAAATCTGAAGAATTGAGGGAGAAACGGATTTAACAAGATTAAAACACACTTGCAGAGAAGACTGGCTCAAACATCCTGAGTTTGTGGTTAAAACGGATGAGCTAGAAATGCTAAACTAAAGAGTTTGAGTCCAGGAACGAGGCATAATTTATCCAGAATTAATTGTAAGAAAATGGATGAGCTAATGCCAAAGCAATCTGGAGAACCTCAAAATTAAATCTTGAAAAATTCATATCTTCATAAATAATCCTCATAGTTTACTGTTGTTTATACCGACGGAAAGCTACACCCTTAAGCTAACAAATAACCCCATGACATGTGACTTAGAATAAAGTGAGTAAACAAGGGTAAACAAGGCCATGATGGGTGTTAGGCAATGCAATTGGCTAATTCCCACACCAAAACTTCCAGAAAGTTCTAGAAGCAGAATGGGATGCTGATCGCTTACATAAGAGGATTGCTAAGCTCAATATAAGATTACTCAGCAATGTAAATAGTAAAGTGACATGTGAAAACAGAGCCCTTAGGAAAGGTATAAAAGACCACATTTTCTGGTCTGACCCCTCTTCCTTCTTTACTCCTCTCCCCTACATGCTCTGGCTCATAGGTCATAAGGCGTCCTAATAAAATTAAGTTTTATTAGTATAAGTGTGCAGTTCAGATCACATCTGAGTAAAAGTGATCAACCCTCAGTAAAAAGTTAAGAAGAAGTTAAGAAATAGTGACTTGAGTCAAGTCGGTTGGAGTCGCTCCGAGTTAAAAGTGACAAGACAGAGGTGAAATGACTGAAAATAGTAGGTCTATAGCGCAATTTTCGTGTGGAACAATCAGGTAGACAAGTGAATTGAACCCTGAGAATTTCATCCACACACAAATAATCAGTAACACATACAAATATCAATACACAAAGCAACCAAAACGCTACAGTGGTTGAGTTAAAGTACCAATACTAACATATAAGTATCAGAAGAAAGAACAGCCTTTTATAGGATTTCTGTTCTCCTCCTTCAGCGTACCGGCTCATCTGAGATCCTTGATCCTCAAGGAGTTCCATGACTTACCCCACGAGGCTGCTCATGCGGGGGTAGAGAGAACCCTCAAATGTCTGAAGGCCAAATGTTATTGGAAGGACCTCAGAAAGGATACTAAGCAGTACATGGAGACATGCGATGTATGTCAGAAAATCAAGCACGACCAAGGCAAGGCTCCCGGCCTGCTGAAACCCTTGCCAGTGCCTCAGTTACCATATCACACAATAACGCTAGACTTCATAACGGGCCTCCCAGCGGCGAAGAGTGACATTCGTCTCGACGCCATCCTAGTGGTAGTTGACAAGCTCACCAAATACGGACATTTCATCCCTTGCGCTACTACAGTAGACGCGCAAGGTTCGGCTGACCTGCTGTGGCACCACATCATCAAACATATGGGGCTACCCGCAGTCATAGTCAGTGACAGAGACCCAAGATTTCTGTCAACTTTCTGGACTTCCCTAGCTCGTCATTTTGATACTAAACTGGCGATGTCCACCGCTGCTCACCCCCAAACAGACGGTGTAAGCATGCTAGGGATGTAACCCAGCAGCAAACAAGAAAAGAAAAAAAAGGGGGGCAAAGAAAATCTTACTACCGGTAAGGCCGCACACGGTCCCGGTGCAAGTGCACGATACTAATAAACTCTTTTAAAACTCAGAACTCACCCTGGTCCTTCTTGGACAGTCGTCAGGGAGTCAGACTAAGCTCTTTAAACGTATGGAAGGGGTCGCTCAACACCACAGTCTTTGTAGCACAGATGAGGGGTCCAACAACTGTAAGTACAACGCAAACTGGGTGTATATATAGAAAAAAAAAGAGAAATCAGAACAAAAAAACAAGTAAAATAGCCGATGGATGGTGGCGATGGAACCAGGAAGAATGTTGAGAGCTCGGCTAAGAAACAATAAGGCAAAAAAATGTCCACAAGGTAACAATAAAGTCAATAATTGAGGCCCATAAGGTCAATATCAGCCATCAATCTCGCTTCTCCACAGCATATCCGTCATCCTAACTCCCGTCCCGTCCTTCCATCCTCTTCTCCTGATCCGTCGCTGTCCTTCAAGCTCAAAATCGTGTGAATTGGTGGAAAATTGGTGGAGATATGGGGGAAATGGTGGATATCCGTGAATTTTGGGGAAGTGGCAATATGGGTCTTGAGAAAAAAGCATGGAAAAAATTGGAAAAAATGGGAAAATGTGCCGTGGGCATTGTGAATGTGTCGGAGGCTTGAGGGTGCTCGTGTCAGGGACTCGTCCGGGGTCGAGGGGGTCCGGGTATAACGTCCGGGACCGAGAGCCTGGCGGGGGGCGGATCGGGCGTGCGTACTGACAGGCCCGATGTGGGGCAGCGGTCCCTGGCCACTTAGACTGAAGTGGAAAGTTGTTATTATTATTAAAGGAGAAATATTGTACTACTTACCTGAAGTGGAAAGTTGAGAAGAAGGCTACTTCTTCGGTTCCCACTTCAGGTTCGTTTATATACATGCGGCTTGGATCACATGACGGGTGCCACGTCACCCTCGCACACAGCCGTAACCACCCGGGTGTCTCCATGGGAGATCCCGAGGGTATCCGGTGCAGGCGCGCGTGCTGGGCACAGCGGGAAGTTGCCCGAGGTGCCCGGGCCGGGTACATGGTGGGCGCGCTGCAGATGGGTCAGTTGTACATTGATACAGAGAAAGTCGTCCATGTAGAATAAAGAGAGAATAAAGGAGAAGTAAGATAAGGAGAAACTGAGGAAGGGAGGATGAGGGGGAAGAAGGGAAAGGGGGAGGAGGTAAGGAGGGGTGGACCAGCGGGGTACCGGGTCAGGTTGGGCCGGGTGGAGCCGGGTCAGGCGGGTGTGCCCTGACAGCTCGTTGGAGCCTCGAAAAACGTGGTTCTGGCCTTGTTTGTGTGGTACTTGCTGTGCCCTCCTACAACGGTCAGACGGAAGTCATGAATCAACAGCTAGAAGTCATGCTAAGAGCCTTCATCAATAAGGACCGAGACGACTGGCACAAATATTTGGACGTCCTCATGTTGGCATATAACAACAGCCCTCACACGGCCACAGGCAAGACCCCGGCCTCACTACTCATGGGATTCCGACCCCATTGTCAGGGCATACACCCTGACCTAGCCCATACCCGCATCCACACCCGCACCCGCAACCGCACCCGGCTGTTGCACTCCCCGCGCGCGCCCTGTGCCGGACGCTCAGTGCGGCCGGAGGGCCCGGACCTCGGGTCTCGGGTCTCATGTGACTTCCGGATATCTCCGGAAGTTTTCGATGTATTGTGGCCACTGTGGGAAGATGAGAAGTTAACTTCCTTCTCATCTCTGACCCACAGTAGGCAAGTTGTATATACTTGCCTCTCTTCTATATAGCATCTCTGACCCACAGTAGGTTGTGCCCTGGACAGGGCTGGTTACACCTGGGACTGTGGACCATAGGGGAGGGTCATGGGGACCCGGGAGTCGTCCCCTGACACCCATCTTCCCAGCTCTTTCCTCGTCCCAGAGGGAGGTCTCAATGTCGGGGCAGAGGAGAGGGTGAAAGACCTAAATCTTCGACAAAAATGGGCCCGTGAAGCCATCTTCAATGCCCAACAATCACAGATTAAAGCTTATAATTCTGAACACAAGGAAGTTATATACAGCATAGGCGACCTCGTTCTCATCGACCCCCACAAGTTAAACCTCCTAGAGGTAAAAGGGGAAGGGCACAAACTGATGCAGAGATGCATAGGCCCCTTCGAGGTAATGGAGGTGATTAATGACAACGTGTATCGGCTAAGGCTCCCCGACTCCTACCCGATGCACAATGTGGTCAACATGGCTCACTTAAGGCCATACCGGCCCACAGGAGATGACTCGTGACCCCACCTGTCCAACCCTAGAGATGACATTAGAGCCTCGGAGGAGTTCGAGGTGGACGATGTGGTGGGGCACAGGAGACGAAAGGGGAAAACGTTATTCAGAGTTCGGTGGAAAGGGTACGGAGCCCAGGAAGATATGTGGGTGATGGAAAGAGACCTCAGAAATGCACCCAAAACATTGGCGAAATATAAATCGAGGACTGGCTTGAGTAGATGCTATTAGGTGCCTACTGCCCAATCGAGCGAAGTCAGGACTGCCCAAGTCGGAGCCAGATCACGGTATCAACCGATCATCGCTCACTCCTGATCACCACCGATCTCTCCCACTTCTCAACCTCGTCCCATGTCGTTAGCCTTAGCCAGCATCAGCCAAAGGCCCACCCCCAGCAACTCTGTTACGATCACCGACACTCATAGAGGGGATCATGCCGGACTAGAAGCCATTGAGATCGACGCAGAGCCCTTCAAAATCGCTTCATCACATAGTATGTGGTTGAATGGTCAGTTCGGGGCGTCAGATCCCGTATTCTCCTACGTACCCGTTAGAAGCCTGGGCTCTGGTCCTCGTCTGCTCGATCGACTATGGATACTGGTTCCAGAGGACCATCATCTCAACGAGGTGGAAGTGCTGAAAGAAAACCATAACCAAAATGTTCCACCCAGAGCCCTTACCCCGCTGCTAGAGCGTTGGCAGGCAGCCAAGACAGCCGCACTCGCAGCTGAGGCCCACTCATCCTTATGACTACCAGCAGAACTGCGTGACGTTATCTACAGAGTGGAATCGGAAGCCAGAGGAGACCACAAACAAGATCGAAACGCTTTTGCCTTCCAATTTGCCCCATGGCAGCATCCGATTATCATAGTAGCTCGATATACCTACATCCTACGCATCATCTCTCTTCTGGTGGCTTTCGTTAACTTCACCTGGGCAAGAGATCGCCTGTTGCCTGATTCCATCAATCTGGATCGGGAAGTCGACTGGTTCGAACCTCCAAAAGGAATAATTGTCGAGGATGGCTCAGTCGACAACCAAACCACGTTGGATCTGCTCGAGCTGGCACCGTACGTGGCATGTGGGTTGGCCTGTCACCGGAAAAAGGACAATCACCTGGAAAATTTCGACTCACCCGACCGCGCCGCCAGGGCACGGACTCTCTTAGCTCAGCACCTTGGAGACTCAAGGTTACAATGGTTCTTCGACTGGCCCATGTGGGAAGGCCCCCCAGACCCGCTACCAGGAACAGAGGATCGAGATTCCTATTTGCAAAAGCTGACATGGCCTGGACCACCCACATCCAGTCAAGATCTTTCCACTCTCAAGTTGGTCGAAAGGAGGCGATACCATAGAGCTTTCTATTACACGGACACAGGACGATTCATGACTCGTAACGAGGCTACAGATGTGGTGTTGGAAGATGACGTGGAACGTCGTCTACTACAACCTAACCAACCGATGGTCATCGACGACAACGTCGAACCACCGAACGAAGACCTTGCCGTCCACGACCTTGCTGTCCCGGATTCCTTTCCTCCCTCCCCTGAATGGCCGGGAACTGGCGATTCGTTGTTCTCGCCAAATTTTGGGATGCCATCTTCCTTGCCGGTTCCCCTTTCCTCAACCACATTGTCCGCCTCATCCTCCCTTTCAAACACTTTGAGTTTGGCTCACTGGCAGAGACTCCCAAGAGAAGAGAGGAGGTCGAATCCTTACCCTGGGTCTAGAAGGGCACGTGTAGCAAACCGTCCCGATCAACCATGTTGGCGTATGTGAGACGAGTCCTACAACTCTGGGGCTGACTCGTACCGTCCGGAGGTCCACAGCCGTGAAAGATCATGGCATTGGGAAGCCTCCCGGGACCCGCCAGTTTGGAGGGAACCTCGAACGAATTCTAGATCCCCAAGTGCAAGGGGTCCCTTGTCGAGTTTAGTGCCATATTGATCCCCTTCGACGTCCTCAGTCCCGCGCACTGCTCCTGTCGCCCTGCCGGTGAATCCCACCTGGGTGGTGGACAGCAGCTCAAACATGGCTGTACCTGCATTCGTGGTCAATCTGGCCACACCTCCTCCCCAGGCCCCATTGAAGGAGAGAACGAAGGAAGGTCAGTTGGGAGGTTCAAACGAGACCACCACCAAGCTGTTCCCTGGTTCTTTAGTTAGGATGGGGAAGTGTACTAGTGTTATTTATTGTAAATATAGTACCAATCCAAGTGTTTTGGCTAATTCTATTTTTATGGGTTAGTTTTAAAGTTCCTGGGAATTGACTTACAGATAAACCGAGCCCTGCGGAGCTGTTTCTTTATTGAAATTTCTTAATTTGTCTAGGTGTAGTTCTGTGTAGCGTTGTTTAATTTGGATTTAATCTTCTACTTGGTGAAGTTTCAAAGATTCTAATCAGTTAATGGATTTGGATTGTGTCTGGAGTGTCCCTTGAGTTTGTTTTATTTTTGTCTTATTTTATTGCTTGTTTTAACAGTAGCAAAATAACTGTTTTGTGTTTACACTTTGAAATCTGGAGTGTTAACCAGCTCTCCTGTTGAAATATCTACTTAATATTTCTCTCCTTTATTGCTGCCTTTTACTACAGTGGCAATCTTAACTGTATATCACTTTTTCGCACTGGAGTGACAACCAGAAATGCTTGAGAAAAATAATACTCTATTTTCTTACTTCTCTGAGGGGGGTGAAAAGTCGCAGAAAGGGTCTCCCTTTTATACTCCTTGGGTCGCCTTCCTTTTTCATGCTCTACCTTCTATTTACAGGATTTATTTACAGTGTATTTTTCTCAAACTGAATAAAAAATGAAATTTTCATGCTATAGTTCTACTGCGCTTGTGCTGCGCTGAACTGCGGTTCTACTGCGGTCAGACTGCGCCTGGAATCCTTATTGTCCTTCCTCGCCTGAGCTATTTTAATGGTTAATTAGAATTTGACTGCACCGCATTTGCCGCAGTTCCCTATATCAAATTCCCCATATTTACCATTAAGTTCGCTATGACTCGGTCATTCTGAATTCAAACTTCGCATTACTATGCATTCGGCTGTGCTGAGACCTTCAGCTGATTTATTCCATTTTTATTTAGTGACATTTAGTTAAAATGAGACTGAAATGATAAATGAGTGAATTATTCAGGTTTAAAACTGAAAGAAAAAGTTGCTAGTAGTCAACAATTACTCAAACGAATGTGTTATAGCTCTCCACTTCATTAGAACATCGTTCCCTAAAATTCCTGCCATGGTCCATCGTAGTTTTCGTGAATTTCGTTCATATTCCCTGATTTCCCTTTGTTTTATCACATCCTAATCCTCCATATGTATTGTTTGTTGTTATAGTAGGTCGTCCTTGAAGATATCATATTTTTATGTATTTTATTTAGGTCTCTGGACCTCTTGAAGCTGTCTTCCCACGCGTTTTCAGGTTTCTAACTTCATGTCCTTGTATCTCATTCATTTCTGGATGTTTTCTCACGTTCTTGGTATCATAAATTTTTATTTATTCCCACCTTTCCAATGGTACTAAGGTTGTTTCCTATTTCCTGGTATTCGTTGAGTTAGCAAAGATTTGCATGCACATTTGGTAATCACATGCATCGTTCCCATAGTCGTTCGTATGCGGGAGCCGTTTTCGTTTAATTGTTCAGGATTTATGATATGCGTGGGTGTTTATTTCTTTCATATGGGCTTCTGTGATTTATTTCAGATTTTTCCCTCATGATCTAAGGTTGTTTTGCACTTTCCATGCTTTGTTTTGACCGGGCTCTTCCTTATTTGGATGGAAATTGGTCTTCGCGATCTGCCGAAGTGCGGATCTCGGTTCCGACGGCCGGTTCCCTGCACATCGCCACCCTCACGTGTCATTATACATGATGCGGATTTCTATATTCCCGTCATGGGTATAACTTCACAACGGCTGGACCGTTTGGGCTGAGAATTTGCATAACTATAGTTCCCCATTTTTAATAATTTCTGTGTAAATTTCGTTGTATGTTTTAATTATGGATCCTACGCAAACATCGTCTTTTCCCTGAGCTCGGACTTTTGATGTCGCTATTCCCGTTATTGGATATCTCATTAACGCATGATCCTTTTATTATGAAACTTTGGGAGGATTAAGATTAGATCCCTTCCTTTCTAATGGGCTATCAAGCTTGTCTCGGTCGTTACTAGTTAATCTTCGCGCTTGCCTTTTAGACATTGTCCTTGTTTTGCAGGAGTTTTAGTCATATCTCCGTCGTTTATGGGTAGTTTCCCCTGTAATTACTCTCATTGGTTCCGTTTGGGGGACATCTACATTTGCTATTATAAACACGACTTTGACTTTTGCATTAGTTCCTGAGGAATCTTTGTTCCGTGGTACTTCCATCCTTGGCTACGTGTGCGGACGTGGGAAAGTAGTTTCCGTGGAGGTTCTCTGGTTATTTTTATAGTCAAATCTTGGTCGATTGTCCTAATTCTTGGTTTAATATTTGCTATAAATTCCCCCGAGAATTCCGTCTCGTTGATGGTAAGCTTGAAGTATTTTTGCTATTTTTCTTTCTTTCGATTTATCGTGTATAGTCATAATAATTCGTAAAAATTCGTAAAATTCGTTAAAATTCAGGTCCTTCTATTTTCTCATATCTACTTGTTGTATGAGGTTTTGTGATTTATCTGGCATATTTCCATAATGGGTTTCCATAGTGTGGCCGTTATTTCTCCTACACCGTATCTGGCGCTGCCTTCCTACCATCATGAAAATGTGCCACCTTCCTACGCGTCCTCATCGCGTCCACGTGATGATCCCTACAATTACCCTCCCATTCGGCGCCATTCACAATCTAGGAGCCGTTCCCCTCACCAAGACGATCGTCAATGGCATGGCCCTCATCCGCCCTGACACGGTCGGTAGAGACTGGGGGGTGATGTTATAGGAATGGAGTCTCTCGTGTCCATGTCAACCGAATGTCCACCATGGTGGGCCCTCCTTCTCCATATCCTCCCTTCTCTTTGTTACCTTCTCCCTGCTCCCCCCCTTTCTTACACATTCACTCTGCACTAAGCTTTCCCTTATCGGGTTTTGGTGCTGGCCGGAATATTTATTCTATTTCGCAAGATTTCTCGCGATCATTTCTTATTCAATAGTTAGCGTCATGTTTATGTACGGCAACAGCCGAAAAGATGAAACCTAACGAATAACACACCATCCTCTTCTGTGCAACAACTGTAAACCTCCTTGTGCCAACACTGTATCGTCTGTGTAAGATTGTGTATGTCTCGGTCACCATCTATATGGGTCATCCCTGCCGAGGTTGATGACTCTAGCCACGGATCATCGAGTTCGTGCGTGACTCAACTCAGGTATGCGCGATCACCTTTTGTTACGACTCATGTCGTTCGCCCAGGTACTGGGCTCACGTCTGTCTCACCTTACGGTGAGCATCTGGTTAATTCTACGGACAGATGGGTATTCGATACAAGCCCGTTCCCTTCGTTGCTGGTACGCTCTCGCGAGCGCCAAGTAGCCGTCGAGCCCACCACATGTCGTTCGACCTACGATCGACTAACTCCTCTGTCACCGGTATGCTCTTACAAGCACCAAGTACCCATTGACACATATACAGACCATCAGCCAGATGAACAGTCTCATACCTCGTTGCCAGTACGCCCATCTGGGTGCCAAGTATCTGTCAACCCAGCCTCTGGCAGCTCCCTCAAGGAGCTGGAACATCACTTGTTGCCGGTACACCCAATTGGGTGCCAAGTACCCATCAACCAATTCTCAGGAAGCTCCCTCAAGGAGTTGTTATCTCACTCGCTACCGGTATGCTCCCTCGAGCGCCAAGTACCTGCTAGCCCTATGTCCCCAACTAGTCCCACTCTGGACATTCTCTCAACCTGTGATCCTATATACCTGCACATGGTACGCTCACGTAACGAGCGCCAAGTATCCGTCGTAACAGACTCCCATTCACCACGAGGTCTCAGCTTTCTGTCATAAGCTCCATGGCCATCGGACAATTCTAATTACACGACTAAACTGCCCTACATACATGAGGTGGACGATTCTAAGTCGTCTATAAGGATGGAAAGAAGTGGGTTGCCCTTAACCCATTTCTTTAACATATAGTATTTCTCCTTTAATGATAATAACAACTTTCCACTTCAGTCTAAGTGGCCAGGGACCACTGTCCCGCATCGGGCCTGTCAGTACGCACGCCCGATCCACCCCCCACCAGGCTCTCAGACCCGGATGCTACACCCGGGCTCCCTCGACCCCGGATGAGTCCCTGACAATGCCCTATTGTATTCATACCTCCAATGGGCTCAATTATCGCAGGCATCATCTGACACCCTTGAGTTGTCAGACTGTGCCCGTTTGGATGGCCTGGACAAGGAGCCGCTGTCGCTCCCTCATCTCCCTCCTACGAGGGACTTTATCTCTTTCAACTCCTGACGAAGTTGACCTGTTTGGGCAGCTACCGCTGATGCAATAGCTGATTCCCAGCCTATATTTGGCTGGGTTGTCGGATCTGGGCCAAATTGGCCGATCCAGGGAGTGATTTGGCCAGGGAAGTTCCCTGGGGAGTATGCCTGGGGCTGCAGCAGCAATTGCTGCCCCTGGAATGGCGCTTGTTGTGCCATCGGTGCAGTTTGTACTGCATATGGTTTTACATGTGAGCCTGGGGTTCACGTGGTCTAGGCGAGTTACTCGCCTAGCCCATGTGATGTCTAGCCCATGGTGTGGCTGTCTGGGCGAGTTGCTTGCCCAGAATCTTCCCATGCTCTTGGCTGTGGGTGATCACCCTTCAGCTTCACTTTTTCCGCCTCCGTTTTTGGGGGTGTAGTGATGCCGAAAGTTCTGTATCTTCTTAGATCGGGAGATTTTCCGGTTCCCTCACATTTTGTAATGTGAGGTACTCGTCCAGGCGGACGAGGTCGTTACGATTTCCTAGGGGTTCCCATGTGGTGTCCCCTAGCTCCCATTTGTCCTTAAACCAGAGTTCATTATGAACCCATGCGTGGTTTAAGATTTCGCGAACTACTGCTTTGCAATCAGGGTCTTCCCTGAAGTCATAAAATATGTTTACTTCCCTATTTGGGAAGATTTCTTGGTCATTCGGCTCATGGGGTGTGAGCCAAGATACGTGGAATCTTGGGTGGACTCCACATTGTTCAAGTTGTGGTGGCAACTTGAGGACGTAGTTTGGTGTCTCTGGAAATGTTTCCAGAATTTCATAAGGCCCTATATACAGGGGCTTTAGTTTGCCTGCCCTCCCTTTGGGTAGGTTCAACTTATCTGTGGATAAGTATGCAAGCTCGCCTTTTCTCAAAGGCAGGTCCAGGCATCTTTTCTTATTCGCCTGGATTGTTTGAGCAGCACGATTGTGTATTATCACGTCGTGTGCTGCCATTAGGTTTTCCTTTGCCTTTTGGGCGAAATCATTCACTCCTGGGTAGTCCGAGGGTGGTGCTGTTAGGCACATCTTTGGCATGTGGCCATAGATTAATTCGAACAGGGAAAATCCTGTCAATGTGTTCAAGCTCACATTGATTGCGAATTCTGCCATCAACAGCTTTGCTGCCCAGTCGCGTTGATCTGGTCTGACCATCGCATGTAGTATCTGTACTACTTTCTTTCATGAATTTTGAATCTCGATCTGATGCGATTGAGTGTGGTAGTCTGTGAAGTCATGCAACTTCATGAAGAAACATGAATGCTAGTTCTAATGCATTCATGGTTGTTTTAATGGGATCAGGTGGACATTGTTGTGTCTGCCTGTGGACAATTCCTTGGATGGAATCATATCCCAAGTCTGTTGGGATGTGGTTGCTTCCCGGGTTTGGGTACTCCCCCCTAGAGCTTCCTCTAGGTTATTTGGCCTCGAGAGTATCTTGGGTTCATAGGCATGATGCCTATGATGACTCCTTACAACTGGTCTTCTAATGCCAGTTTGATCTGTTTGTGTTTGTGGTCAGCCAGAGGTCTCAGGCTGGCACCGGAAGCAAACTGAATTCCCCTATCAAGGAATTGTATTAGGGATGTTTTCTCCCCTATTGTTATCCCTTGGATGTTTATCCGAGTTTTTCCCTGCCATTGATAAGTGGGGTTAAACCTGAGACCACACAGTTGCCCTTTCGATTCAACACCATGTTGAATGTCAGGTGACTTAAGCTGAGTTGCTCGGCTTTACCCAAAGTTACTCGGTCAGGGGCATGACAGGAATTTCTGTCACGCACTGTGACACATCTAAGTGTCACACTCTGCAACGCAATTCAATGTCACACACTTGCAACATGAAGAAGATGGGATAGAGAACCAAAGTCTGAGAAACAATTTATAATTAAAATGGATTTAAAATGAGTATCGCATAGGTTGGGCCGAGTTATTCAGCTTTATCCCTGTTTGCGAGTTCAAGGAGTTTGGTTCCTTGAGCAATTGCCTTCCAGATGGTATTTATCTGGGAGTTCCAGTTCCTCTGAGCTAGGACTGGGTTGTTTCTTTCTTTGGTATTTCTACCAAAGCATCGGCAACTTTCTCATTCACCGTGTTTATGGCCTTCCCAAGGAAAGAGCCAGAGAAGAAGGGAAAAAAAAACAAGGCAAAAAAAAAGAGGGCCTGGAGCACTTCCAGTGTCATGACCATGCATCCCGGCCCGTTAGCCGCCCGTCCCGATGCTGCCCGAGCCTATTCCCGCTGTGCAAGCGTGAGCGCGAGCCCCGACCTCAGCCCTATCCTCCCTGAGGGCCCCCTGCTCACTCCCCCACTTGCCCCTAGGCTCCCCTACACTTGGCCGACTCCCCCACAGCCACACCGACCTCCCTGCCCCGAGTCCGCCTCCGGTACCGACCTAGCATGACTCCGCGACATCGCCTACTCCGCTATGATACCATCGCCGCTATCGCGGCCCTACACCCCTTCGTTTATTTATTTGTTATTGTTTGTTTTGACCCTCAGTCATTGCCGGCCGCGGTGCGGCCAACCCCGCTCTTTGTTCCTATTTGCTTCCGGACCCTTCGGCCTTCGGCCCGGGTCCGCTTCTATTCATTCCACCTTCATATATATATCCTGTATACTACATTATAGTACCTTAGCTCTAATATCGACTTGACCACGACCCCAAGCCCTGACCCCAACAAGGCAGCCCCAGTAAGTTCGAAATGAGGGCCAAGAGTCAACTAGGGGGCACAGCACTCCCTTTAGAGTTGCTGAGGCCAAATGCCCTACCCTCGGGCCTTGTCTGAGGCATCGTGGCCATCGCGGCCCTTAGCGGTCCGCATCGGCGACCTTCGGTGCCCGACCCTGGATCAGTATCTAACATCCAGACACAATGGAGTCTCCTCAGTCTGAGGAGTTAAACTATAGCATATTACTATAGGTTGATGGTCAGGTAGACCTTCGAAAACCTCTCGGTATGAGAGGAAGGCTGCCAATAGTTGGCAGCAAGATTGCGTGGACTGGGTTGTCTGCACAAGTGGGAGTTATGATCTCTACTTGATCTTATCTGCCAATTCTTGGTCCCCCTTCAGGTACGAGGAGGGCTGATTGGCCTTGTCGGCCAATCGTGCGTGATGCAGCCCAGTATTTCTACTGGGGAGAGGGCGGATTGTGGCCGCTAGCCAGCCGAGTATAAACTCCACCCAGAGCTCATCTTCTTCTGGAGACTCCGGGGTGGTTTCTTCTGAGGGGTCCTCCTTCAGTGGGTCTCCCTCCAAGGTTTTTTCTCAGGGGTGTTGTCTTCTGAGTGACTTTCCTCAAGGGAATCCCTCTTTGGTGTCGTCACCAAAGAGTTGGTAGTTCCTTTTTTGGTCTGGCTTATCACCAGTTTTAGTGTATTTTTTTCGTCATTGTTTTCAATGACGTCGGATCTTGGGGCCATTATTGTGGTCCCAACACTGATGTCCTCACCCTTTCTTCTGGGCGAGTAGTGAGGTCCCTTGTTTGGGTCCTCTGGTTCAAAGTCATTGGAGGTGTCCTCCACTTCGAAATCACCAGAGATATTCTCTGGTTCTTCTTCATTGGAGTCGTCTCCGACTTCACCTTCTGTTTTGTAGTCGACTTCCCTGGCGATCCTGTGCCTTGGGTTTCTGTCTCCTACTAACTGGTGCTCAGGGCGGCTCTTTGTCTGCTCTGGTATTCTGCAATTATTGCATACTTGTACCGGCCTTTGGTCGGTGTTCCCTGACTGCTTCAGGGAGGATTTGCCTTTCCATTTGGGTTTAGGGTCTTGCACATTGGCTCTTGCCTCTGCATGTTTCTCCTTTCCCATCTGGTTGGGCTTTTCGCGATTTGTGGTCGCAGTGGTTTCAGGTCTGGCATAGCATTCTGGCCTGTAGGCTGGAGCTATCCTCAGCCTGTTTTTCATCTCATCCATGCGAGATGTTGTTCTGAACATCTCCTCGAAAGAGGAGGATCCCATTTTGATTATTTCCTCCTTGCATTCAGGGAGGATGTTTTCCAGAAACCTAGCATTAAGCGATGGTTCTGGGTAGGACTGTCTGGGTCCTTTTCCTGCATTGTACTTTACACTGCAGTATTTTTCCGTCACCTTCAATGTGGCGGGCTCCTTGATATATGTCCTCATTAGAGTATCGAGAACTTCAAGAAATTTCCCCCCTTTATCTCTAAGGAGGGCTTCTTCACAGAGTTTTAGTCCGTGTGAGAGTGCAGGCTCTGCCAATCCACCAATGAGACAATCCAGATGGATTTCATCGTAGTGTGCACCTCTAGATCCTCGTGATGTGAGGAATCCTAGCAGTGTGGTGTACCACTGCCAGAAAATTTCTGTATTGTTTTTGCCTGACCACTTCGTGTCAGGGAGTCGAGTAGGACCATTATTTGACCAGTCCCACTTCACCCTGTCTATGTGCAGGGCGAAAGTTAGAAGTTTGGCCATCCGTGTGGCCTTGTGGTGCCATCTTTCGAGGTGCCCGTTATCCTCCAGCAATGTTTTGCTGGAAGTTTTCCTTGTGAAGTTTTCACGAGGGTTTGTTTGGTTCTCTCCAGCATTACTGGAGGGGTTTTGCAGAAGGTTACTTCCACTTATCCTTTGCCTGGGTGAAGTGACCGAGGAGGGCCATTTATCGCCTAAGATGGGGCCTGGTGTTGATGGTTGCCCGCTCATTTGTGGGTTCTCCTTACTAGGCTCCTTCTTCTGCCACATTGCACTCCTACAGACTTCGGTGACCTCATCCGAAGTTGGTGACTTCACTGTTTTTGGCAAAAGTTTTGGGTTTGGCCTTGGCAGCAGTGGCTTCCCCTGAGCCTCTGTGCTCTCTGAGCATCTGCCCTTGACCTTTTCTCCTATTATTTCTTGGGCCTTTAGCCTGAGAAGAAGTTCTTCATCACTTCCTGTCCTCCATTTGGATGGGACTGTCATGACCCGACATATCCGTCACTTCCCTCTACGCATCCTAGTGCCACTTGGTCTGTCCGTCCTGCTATCATCATCATCCGTCCACCCATCCATCCACCCGTCACCCTCATCCGCACTTCCTCCCTCGCGCGCGTGCCTACCAACCTAGGTTACCCGCTTCATTGTTGTCTGCCCCCAGCCGGACGGCTTGCTAGACGGCCGGATGGTTCTTTCTCTTTTGTCCGCTTGCGGACTATTGTTCTTCCTTTTGTTTCTTGCTTTCCTTTTGTTGACCAAGTTTGCCGATATTAATTATTTGTTTCTTTCTTCATTTATCGCGCTTGATCCGCCACTCCTTCCGGGCCAGTCTCATTTAGTTACTTGTGTTTATAACGCGTGTAGGTTACACCGGATGTACCTTAGTTCATATATCGACTTGGATTCCCCCTCTAAACTCTTATCCTCATCGTAAGGCTTCTGTCTGAAATTGGGACACCAACGTAAGAACGAAGTGCAGCGCTCCACCCGAGTCGCTGAAGCTAAAAGTCCCGCCCCTCCGACCTTACGAGCCCGGACGACTTCACGCGCCTCGCGGGTCACCCGGATATGCGTCTGGCATGTTCCTGACAGGGACCTGGAAAAAGTCCAGAAGTTTCTCAGACAATCGACTTTGGGGAGCTTCCCCATCCTCCTGCACCTGGTCCCTTTGCTGTGTCCACACTGGGTCCGAGGCCATCTGAGGACAGTCCGGAAGTGAGCTCAACCTGTGAGTCTGTGTTGATCTGGATGACATGGCCTTTATATCCATGTTGGAGTGTGTACACTCATTCTCAGACAGAGCGCTGAGTGTCTCACAGTGGTTGTGAGATGGTGTCGGTGGTGTGGAAGTTTTTTCCACATTTCCTCCACTCAGGACTGGCTCCCTGCACAAGTGGGGGTCGTCCCATTAGGGTTTTTGATGATTCCCAGTCTTATAGACTGGGGTTTGAACCGGCTCACGCCTAGGCAGCGAGCTGGATGTCTCGCTATGGTTGCAAGACGGTAACGACGATGTGGAGGTTTCTTTCACATTTTTTGCAATCAAAGATGGCTCCCTGTGCAAGCAGGAGTTGTTGTTTGATTGTTTTGCACAATTCCCAGTCACATAGACTGGGGAGTGAACCAGCATGCTGCGATTTTGCGGGCTGGACGTCTCACAGTTAATGTGAGACGATGTAGACAATGTGGAAGTTTTTTCCACATTTTTTGCGATCACAAATGGCTCCCTGTGCTGGCAGGAGTTGTCGTTTGATTGATTTGCACAACTACCAGTCGGATAGACTGGGGAGTAAACCGGCTTGCTGCTATATCGCAAGCTGGGCATCTCGCGGCTGACGCGAGACGATTCCGTAGATGTGGACGATTTTTCCATATATTTTGGAACTCCAAACGGCTCCCTGTGCCAGCAGGAATGGTCATTTGGTTGTTTATGACAACTCCCAGTCGCATAGACTGGGGAGTGAACCAGATTGCTGCTATATTGCAATCTGGACGTCTTGCGTTTAATGCGAGACGATGCTGGACATGTGAAAGATTTTTCCACATTTTTTGGGATCAAAAACGGCTCCCTGTGCCAGTGGGAGTGATCGTTTGATGGTTTCGTGTAACTCCCAGTCAAATAGACTTGGGAGTGAACCGGCTTGCTGCAATCTTGCAAGCTGGATGTCATGCGGGTGACTTGAGACGATGTGGACAATTTTTCCACATTGCTTGGGGCCACAAATGGCCCCCTGCGCCAGCAGGAGTTACTGCTGTTTTTGTCAGTGTTTTGCACCAAGTGAGAGGTTCCCTGAGGATAGTGGGGCTCAGGGACTTCTTTTGGCATGTCTGACCCAGCCCTTAAGGCTGTTAGTGTGGCAGCCGCACGCTTACATGTGCACATGTTTGCCTCCTCACCCAGTGGTGAGAACTCTCTCTTTCTAGGAGAGATCATGTTGGCACATGGGGTTCTAAGGGTGTTGTTCCCCGCATTTACTCCATGTAAGTTTTTGGGATCCTCAGGGTTTGTCCCTGAGGTCCTACCAATATGTGGCAGGTCTTCGTCATCATCCGATGACGCAGTGTTTAGGTTATCTCCCAAATTGGGAGATTGTGGCTTTTTAACAAAGCCACCCTTTGTTCTCGCTGCAGATGCGAGCTTCCCCATTTGGGGGTATGACGGTGCCATGTCAGGCGCCGTCCCCAGAACAGATGTAAAAAGGATGTGTAGATTAATTTATTCAGTAGGCGGGAGTGTGCATGGCATGTGCGGCGACCAGGGGGGGGTGGGGTTAGGTATGTAGTGGTACATGGAGAAGGGGAAATCAACCGTAGAATAGAAATAGAGAGAAAGGGGGAAAATAGAGAAGGAGAGACAGGGAGTGGTAGCGGAGTAGTGCAGTGCGGCGTGGGGTCAGGCGGGTGTGCCCTGACAGGTTGATTGTTACATCAATGGGAGCTTCGACTTTGCCAAAGAGTTCAGCAGTCTTGTATAACATGTGGACACTTCCCTGCAGGGTAGCTTGCCCATAGGGTGCTGAGGTACTCAGCAGCCCACTGCCTCTGGCAGTGGTCCCTCCTTTGGGGTCTGCCATCAGTTGCCCACCACTCTCCCTCTTCCCCTCGACATGGGTTTTCCCTTCTGAAGGCCCTGATGCAACCTGGACAGGGTCAACTGCCCATGGGGTGGTGGGATAGTCGATGCCCTGGCACCGTATCCCCTCCCCCTGACCTGGGAGGCCCCCATCATAATGGCTTTGGCAGCAGTGAGATCTGCCAGCATGCATGCCTCTTTGAGCTCGCATTTTAATAATTCGATCTCCCTCTTCTGGAGATCGACTTCTCTCTCTGTATCTCTCAGAGAGGCAAAGATAGAACTGGGCAAGGGCAGACGATTCTGGAGGGGAACCAGAGACTTAGCAAGGAGGGACCTTGGCCTCAGCAACTCATGTGGAGCGCTGTGCCATTGCTGTTTGTCCATTTGGTCCTTAATTTCAGAGGCAGTGAGCAGGAAGTCTCTAGGGGGCATTTCAGGTCGATTTTAGACTGGAGGTCCAAAATGAGTATGTACAAGCACCTGTATATAATAGGGAGATGAAAGCACAAGGAAATCAAAGGGGGTCCAAAATGGAACAAAGGCGTCCGAATGGGAACAAAGGGATAACAGAAGGGGATTGGCACCGAAAGGTCATAGGCTAGAACCTGTGGTACATTGTCAGGGCACACCCACCTGACCCGGGCCCACCCGGGCCCACTCGGCCACACCACACCCGCTCCCCACTGTCTATCCCCCTCCCCCTCCTTCCTCCCTCTCCTCCCCTTTCTTTTCCCTCTTCTTTCCCCTTTCTTTATTTCATTCTTCTCATCTTCCTCTTCCTGTTTATTTCTTTCTATCTACATGGACCACCTTCCTTTGTATCGATGTACTATTGACCCGTCTGGCCCACACACCCCGGACAGCTTCCCGCTGTGCCCAGCACGCATGCATGTAGCGGACGCTCTCGGGATCCCCCATGGGGACACCCGGATGCCTGCGGCTGCCTCCGAGGATGACGTGGCACCTGTCATGTGACTCAAGCCGCATGTACATAAAATGTACCTGAAGTGGGAACCGAAGAAGTAACCTTCTTCTCACATTCTCCACTTCAGGTAAGTAGTATAGTTTTCCCCTTTAATAACAATAACACATTCTCCACTTCAGTCTGAGTGGCCAGGGACCACTGTCCCGGATCGGGCCCGCCAGTACGCACGCCCGCTCTACACCCCACAACGGCCTTAGTGCCGGATATTACCCCCGGGCCCTCTCGACCCCGGACGCGTCTCTGACAGCAGAAGAAGGTTTTAACTTTATTTCCCCTGCCTCCCCCACCTCCCCAGCCATGGTGTCAGAAGAACAGTATGATGACCTGCTGGCCCGCTTCCAGGAGCTCCAAGCCATTGTGGAGAGCCAAACCCGCAACCACCCCCCACCCGCACCTGCACCCGCACCCGCCCCTGCACCCGCGCCCGTACCCACACTCGTGCCCAGACCCAAACCACCGAAGGTTGCTGCCCCCACTCCCTTCTCGGGAGCCAGTGAAGACCTTGATCGTTTCAAAGCCGAGTGCGGGATCTACTTCCACGTCCGCGCAGCCGAGTTCCCTACCGAACTATCCCAGATCCTCTTTGTCCTCTCCTACATGAAGGGAGGACCCGCAGGGGCGTGGGCGACACAACGGACGATCACCCTGCTGACAGCCACCTCCCCCACCATAACCATGGACGAGTTCAACACAGAACTCGACGCCATGTTTCAAGACCCGAACCGGGAGGCCACAGCTCGGCAAAAGTTGGCAGTCATCCGCCAAGGGACTGACTCCGTGGATAAGGTCATCCAGGAGTTCGAGATATTGGGGCCCGCCTCGAGGCTAGGCGATGTCGGGCTGGTCGACCGGTTTGAGCAAGCGATTAACTCGCGGCTCAGGGAGAGTATATACCGCCTCTGCCCCATGCCCACCACTTGGACTGAGTGGAAGCGCGAAGCCACGCTTCTGGACAACCAGTGGCGACGTTTCCAAGCCACCCAACCACGCGCACCCCCACCCAGACCCCTGTTCCCGCCAGCTCGACCTCCGCTGACCGCGACCCCATCCCAGACCCGACCCGTGCAGACCCCCCCACGACCTGCTCCCGCACCTCTGCCCCCCACCCCAGCAGCCCGTCCTACACCAGGGACGGGCCCCCAGCCGATGGATCTCGACAGGTCGAGGACTGACCAGAGACGGTGCTACAATTGTAACACCCCGGGTCACCTTGCGCGAGAATGCCCACACCCCAGGGTCAGCCGAGTACGACGTCTCCACCCGGAAGACCTGAGAACATTGATGGAAGGGCTGAAGAGGCAGTTGACCGAAGGGACAGAGACGGTGGAGGGGGAACCAGAGGAAGAACCTCAGAGGGATTTTCAGGCAGGCGACCGGTAAGGGATGCGTCCCGGCCGCTCGTAGAAGATAGCTCGTGTAAATACCGCAGCGTGCGTAAGCCAACGCCAATGCCAAAGTTTCACCGAGTCATCGCAAAGAAAAAGAGGAGAAACGCATCCTCCACCCATGAGAACGAGAAGACTCCAAGGGCAGCAATGCCCGAGGTAACAGTCTCCCCCCCAGCCATTTACGTCCTTTCCAAGCAGTCCCCCAGGTCTCTTAACCTCACAGTGAAACTGACCGCCCTAACCTCCCTCGCGTCGGTATCTGTATCAGCCCTCCTGGACTCAGGAGCCACCGGGAACTTCGTAAGCCCCGAGTTTGTCCGAAAGCACAACCTAGAGACAACCCCCCTTCCCCAGCCCATTCCCGTCCGTAATGTCGATGGAACCCCGAACGAAAATGGAGCCATAACAGAAGAGCTAGAAGCCCTCCTGACCTTCGGGCGACACACAGAGCGGGCACGCTTCGCGGTTGCAAATCTCGGGTGCCAGTCCCTCATCATAGGACACTCGTGGTTGCTGCACCACAACCCAGAAGTGGACTGGGTACAACAGAGAGTCGTCATGTCCCGCTGTCCGTCCTCCTGCAGACAACCGCGAACACAAGATGATCAGGACCCGGTACTGGAACCTGGGGATGGGATCTACGCTGCTATCATTCCCCCAAGCTGGGGCCATGACCTGAGAGCCACCACGACCCCCTTGCAGCGGATGGCCCAAGAGGCCCGCGACCCGGAGGCTGAGCCTGCATCGTTTGAGACGCTAGTACCAGAGCACTACCAGGACTTCTGGGATGTGTTCTCCAAGGAGGCCTTTGACCAATTGCCCCCCCGGAAGCCCTGGGACCACGCTATAGACCTGGCACCGGATGCCAAACTGCCCAGGGGGAAGACCTTCCCACTCTCGCGCCCGGAACAGAAAGAACTGGACGAGTTCCTACGCGAGAACCTACAGAACGGGCGCATACGGCCGTCCAAATCCCCCATGGGAGCACCAGTCTTCTTCGTCAAGAAGAAGGACGGGTCCCTACGCCTGGTCCAGGACTACAGGAAGCTGAACGAGATCACGGTGAAGAACTCGTACCCGCTCCCCCTCATCTCAGACGTCCTCGCCCGCCTCCGCAACGCCAAATACTTCTCAGCCTTGGACCTACGCTGGGGGTTTAACAACGTCCGGATCAAGGACGGAGACGAGTGGAAGGCGGCATTCGCGACCAACCGGGGGCTGTTTGAGCCCATGGTGATGTTCTTCGGCCTGTGTAACTCCCCAGCAACCTTCCAGACCATGATGAACGACATCCTGAGGGATTTCATCGACCGGGAGGTTGTCATCTGTTACATGGACGACATCCTGATCTTCACGGCCACCCTGGAGGAACATCGAAGGGTCGTCCGAGAAGTCCTAGAGACGCTGAGGAGAAGGAGGCTCTTCCTCAAGCCAGAGAAGTGTAAGTTTGAGCGAACCCGGATCGAGTACCTGGGCCTCGTTATCTCGGAGGGTAACGTCGCGATGGACCTGGTGAAGATCCAGGGTGTCCTCGACTGGCCCCCCCCAACCAAGGTGAAAGAAGTACAATCCTTCCTAGGATTCGTAAACTTCTATCGCCGGTTCATCAGAGACTTCTCTGAGAAGGCCCGCCCCCTTCACAGGCTGACCCGGAAGACCCAAACCTGGAACTGGGGCCCGGATGAAGACGATGCCTTCCGTGCCCTCAAGGAAGCCGTCACCACAGCCCCTGTCCTCTCTTTCCCTACCGACCACGGCCGCTTCAGGCTCGAGTGCGATGCATCCAACTTTGCAACCGGCGTGGTCCTCTCCCAGCTCCAACCGGATGGAGAGTTCCACCCGGTAGCATTCATGTCCAAAAGTTTCATGGATGTAGAGCGGAACTACGAAGTGTACGATAAAGAGATGCTTGCAATCGTCCGAGCCCTCGAGGAATGGCGACACTTCGTGGAAGGTGCTGAGGAGAAAGTCGAGATCTACACCGACCACCGTAACCTGGGCTACTTCCGGACGGCCCAGAGGTTAAATCGACGTCAGGCCAGATGGTCCCTTTTCCTCTCCCGCTTCCATTTCACCCTCGTCCACCGCCCAGGGAAGCTCATGGGGAAACCAGACGCACTCTCTCGCCGTGCTGACCACCCGAAGGGAAGGGACGACAATGAGGGGCTGACCCTCCTCCAACCGGCCTGGTTCGAGGCCCGTGGGACGGAAGCAGTCTC